ACGTAGTAGTAGTCGGTAGTCGTATGTAGTTAGGTAGTAGTCAGCGTAGTAGCAGTAGGACGTAGTAGTAGTCGTAGTAGTAGTAGTAGCGGTTGCGCAGGTCGGATCTGAAGTCGGCGGTCGTAGAGGTACGTCGCGGTAGGTAGTAGTAGTCAACTGCTATACTGCGTAGTATTCGTCGTCGTCGGTAGTATTAGTTCGTAGTAGTCGTCGTATGCGGTAGTCTGATAAGTATGTGGTACGTATGCGTAGTCGTGCTTCGTAGTCGTAATCATCGTCTGAAACGGCTGTCGACGAACTTCTTCGGTCGTCGTCGTCTGTCGTCGTCGACTACTTACTCGTCGAATACTTACTACTACTACTAGGAACTGCGACTACTGGGCAACACGAACACCTCTACACCTGTACACCGCCATGCCTGCCGCGGCCACCAAGGGCCCCAGCGTGGTGCAAACGCCCTCCTGGCTGAGACCCTGAGCGACTTTACAACATCCCAGGGTCCATGATGTCTCTGACCAGGCATGATGGTGGTGCAGATCTTCCTCTTCGTCGTCTTGCTCTCCTCCAAGAAGAACCATGTTCAGAGGCTTTCGGAGGTTCTCAGGAGGGGGGGGGGCGCGGCGGGAAAGCTCTTCGTGGTTTGGGGGAACTGTCGGTCGATTTCAAAAGTTCCCGTCCTACCTCTTCCCCTCCTCTTCCTTATCCTCCTCCTCCTCCTCCTCCTCCTCCTCCTCCTCTCCCTTGTAGTCCATTTGTTATGATTTTTTCTCCCCCTCCTCCTCCTTATGCTCCTCCTCCTCCTCCCCCTCATTCTTTTTTGAAGGGCGAAGCGATAATTCGGATGCTTTATTTTGGGGTGCGGAGAAAATTACTCGGTGCTCATGGGCTCTGTCAACATTGGGAACAAAAAGCTAGCTCAAGCCACCGACATCCGATAATCTAGTGTCGATTCGATTTTTTACATACTTTTGTTTTCGGAAGGGGGTGGGGAACGCATTTCTCGGATGTTTGCCTCTTCCCGCCCCATGGCTCGTCGTCGTCGTCCTTATTCTCCTCCTCCTCCTCCTCCTCCTCCTCCTCCGTCCTTATCCTCCTCCTCCTCCTCCTCCTCCTCCTCCTCCTCCCCGCCGCCGTGGTCGCCGCCGTTCTCCCCCTCCTCGCCCTCCTCATCCCTCGCTCCCCCCCCTCGCGGCTGCCGCCCGCGAGGCACCTCCGGACGATGAAGGGGACCTGGCCGGGCTGTGCGGGAGGGCCCGCGCCGCGCGGGGCTGTGCGGCGCGGGCCCGCGCTGGGGGCACGCGGCCGCGGCCGCGGGGGCGATGGCTGTGACGAGGGTTGTCAGTCTGGTGTTCCCATGAGAGATGAGCGAGCGGCACGAGGCCCGTCTCTCCTCCTCCTCCCTCCTCCTCCCGCCCTCCTCCTCCTCCTCCTCCTCCTCCTCCTCCTCCTACTACTCCTCCTCCTACCTCCTCCTCCTCCTGAGCCGCGGGTCAAGGGATGAGACGCGGGTCAAGGGGGCAATTCGAGCCACCCCCTCCGAGACCTCGTGGCCTCGCCAGAATCAGCATCGCCTTCCTCGGCGTCTCGCGTGAGCAGGCGGTATCCCAGGGGGGGCGCGGCCGCGGCACGGGGCACGCCGCGGCGCCCGCTCGCTGGGCGGGGGGGGGCCCTGCCGCCAGCGCGATGAGGCCTGCCCGAGGCCGCACGCACGGAGAGGGACGTCGGTCGGATACGATTAGGTCGGGCATGCCCTCCCACGGGCGGGTGTCGAAAGAACAATAAGTAAGAGTCCAAACGTGCTCGCTGTATGAAAATAGTAGCACGAAGAAGTCGTCACCAGACCACTTTTGGACTCTTCTTGACTTTTCCTTCTGTAAAGGGCGTGCCCGCTGCAAGGCTACACGCAGGAGTGGCCCTGGGTTAGGAGTGACCTTCGAGAGGGCGCGCGCCCGTGGTGCACTGCCAAGGGGGGGGGGATCCCCCCCGGAGCTGCCCCCCGCCCCCTTGGACCTCCCCTGCTGGGAAGCCCTTCCCCCCCCCCTTTGGACCTCCCTTGCCAGAAGCCCCTCCCCCTTACCCTTGCCAGAAGCCCTTTTCCTGCCCCTCCCTTGCCAGAAGCCCCTCCCTTGCCAGAAGCCCCTCCCTTGCCAGAAGCCCTTTTCCTGCCCCTCGGAAACTACCCCTCCTTTCGCGCTCCGGACGCTTCCCCCCCCCCTCTCCCCCTTTCCTGTGGGGGGGGGGCTCTTAGCTCCCTCCCTTGGGCGTGGCATAATGGGGGGGTCACACATGGGGGGGGTCAGAAAAGGTCCCCTTTCGTGCCCTTTTCGGGCCCCTCCAGAGCCCCAGGGGGCTCGTTTAGGTACCATTTGGGTACCTTTTCGGACCACACTCGCCGCCCCCCCTCCATTTATAATCCCCAATTACGCAGCGCCCAACCCCCCCTTTGAATCTCTCCTGCCGGAAGTCCCCCCCCTCCACCCGAGAACAAAAACTTCTGCGGCCCCTCGGGGCTTGCTGTGGCCCGTTGGAGCTGTCTGTGGCCCCGTTGGGGCTTTCTGTGGCCCGGTGGCCCTGGTGGCCCTGGTGAGTCTCTCTGTGGCCCAGCACCGCCTGTGAGCACCATACCCCAAACACCAAACGACGCACTTCAACTTCAACCTCAGGGACACAGGCACGACACGCACATCTTGGAGACACAGGCACGACACGCACTTCAACTTAGAGACACGGACACGACACGCACTTAAACCTTCGAGACACAGACGCGACACGCACTTCAAACGTAGAGACACAAACACGACACGCACTCAAACCTCAGAGACACAGACACGACACGCACCACCGCTGGAAGCCACCTTCTCAGCATGATTCGGATACCACGACCCCGAGAGGCCCACAAGGCCACCCCAAGAAATCCCCAAAGATCCCTGAACATATCCCCAAGGCCTCTGGGACACCGTCAAGGCGCAGTGGCGGGATTGGCCGAGATTCATTCGATTCTCGCCCTCACACTACATCCACTACTTCCCCCCTGCCCCCATCTAACTTCCGCCTCTTGCGCTCAAGCTGCTCACTTCGCAAAGTCGGCGGATACGGCCGTAATATCTTTGTAGTACAGAACGTTCGCGGCGCCACTGCGAGGGCCACATTCTGAGAACCACTCGCAGTACATCCTTGCAACTGTTCCAAACTGTCAATTACGGCGAATGTGCGCGGCGTTCGGGCGAGACCCGATCCAACACGTCCGCGCGGACATCCGGAAGTTTATGTTTATGCGAGCTGCTTCCTCTTCGAAGCAGGCTGGTGTGGGCTGGGCCCGTTCGGCCGCCGAGCTGGCTCGGTCCTGGCTCCGCGCGGAGGCCGACGTGGGCCCGCAGCGCGCCGCGTGGGCTCAGGCCTGGCGCCACTCCCCTCGGCGGCACCAAGGGGGGGGGCGGAACCGCACACCTCGGCCGCCTCCGCAGAGAAGGCGGGAAGCGTGGAGGTTGGAACTTCTGTGAAGCTTGATAGGCCAACTTTCCACCACCATTAGCATAGGTGGGACGGGGGAGAAGGGAGGATGGGGAGGTCCTCCTGCTTCTCCTCCTCCTGTTCCTCCTCCCTCTCCTGCCTATGGTAGTGGTGGTGGAAATTCGGCCCAGCAAAGGTGGAAGCAAACAAATAACAGCCTGGAGACCACGCGCGGCGATAGAGGCCCGCTCCGCGTTGCACCCGCGTCGGGGCGTCGCCACGCGAACGTCGTCCCACCTCTGCCGGGGCGGGCGTGTGTACCAGACGATGCAACTCCTGCGTGCTGCGCGAGGCCCTCCGGGGTTTTCCGCACGGTGGAGGGGAAGGGCTCGAGGAAGGCCCGGCAAGGGCTGACACGAACCCGAAGCAAGTGGGATTTAATCGCTAGGGCTGGATAAGACAAAGCAAGGAGCCAGCCAAGGCTGGTGTTGGCCCCGGCCACTTTGCCAAACTTCCCTGTAATCCCATCGTGGCCAGCCTGATGGGGTCGAGGTCTCGGGAGGTCGTCGGCGGCCTCCAAGAGACCTTCTGAAGCCCGGGGAGGGCTCAAAGGTACAACAAGAACCTTCGACCCTCGATCACATCAAACCTCGATCCTCGAGGCAAGAGGGGATCCGGTCGGGCGACAAGAGGAGAGGGGGGGGTTGACAACTCAGCTCTCGCACGCGTCGGTCGGAAGAGGTCGGTAAAAGCATGGAGTAGGAAGGTGGATGAATCGGGTTCGGGCCCTCCAAGAGAATAACGCAGCGCAGCAAGAACATATCGGTTCTTGAAGTAGGACGGCGCCTGAAGCAGAGCGGGATCTGGGATCCAACAAGACCTGCTTCCAACTACCGGCGTGTAGCCGTCTGTCCGACGCCTCCCGGTGCGGGAGGCTCCAATGTTTATCGAGGGAGGCGTCCGGCGGCGGGGCCGAGGCCAATCACGCACAGAGAACCTCGCGACTACCCTCTCCGCTCTCCCGTTTCGCCCGACCCGCAGGGTCTCCCAGGGTGCATCCGTGCAAGGATTTCGAGGCGGATCCAGCTGCGGCGACGAGGGATCTCCAGGACGAGCAGCGGTGTCTGGAAGAAGAAAAACGCCGCAAGCATGAACTTCTTTTAGATTTCTTGGATCTGCGCTGGACCCCCCTGCCTGGCGCGCGGAGCGCGCCAGGGGCCAGCGCCTGAGGCGCCCATGGGGGGGTGGGGGACCCCGCGCGGATCCAAGGAATCCGCGCGGAGCGCCACGAGAAAATGTTTACGTCGCCTTGTCTTCTTCGAGTACAGTCGGGCCGCTGAAAGAAGGAACGCTGAATAAGGAACGAAGCCCCTTCTTGGCCCTGTAAGCGCCTCCGTGCCCCAGGAGGGCAAGAGGAACAGCACTGGAGGAACCTAAAGGACATCGAGCCCCTTCCGAACCCAAGCTGTTCCTTATTTCAGCGTCTTGACTGTATCGGTACCCTGCCCTCGCCCGAAGGTCGGGCCCGAGAAAGAACGGGGGGGGCGGGCGGGCGCTCCAGCCTCGCCCGCCTCCAGCTCCATCGTGGCCAGCGCGATGGGGTCGGTTTCGGACTTGGGGTCCACTCTCGGCTCTGGCGGGGGGGAGGTGGGCGGCGGGTGGCGGCGCGGCGCTGCCGGGGGCCGCTGGCCGCCGCGCTGGGAAGGAGAAGGGGGGGAGGCGACGCGCATGCTCCGGGGTCTTCGGGCCCCGCAAGGCGAACCTCAGTGTTGCAATTCCCTTTGGCCGAGCTTGAGATTGCCAACTCCCCTGCTCGCGCAATCATCCCACCCGCCCACCCGCAACTTGGTCTGCAAAGCCCCTGCGGCGGCGATTGCGGTGGCTGCTTGGCGCTGGCTGGCGCTTCGCTGCGGCCGCGCTAGCGCGGGCAAGTTCGCGCGCAGAGCGGCAACCTAATCTGGCGCGACCGACGCGGCCGCGGCGGCGCTGACCGTTGGGAACTTCCCAGCGCGTGTCGCAGGCTGCGCTGACGCGCGGGCACTTGGGTGCGAGTCGGTGACCCGTGCGGGCACGGTATCATGGCGACTTCGACAACGGCAGGCACGATGATGATGGTAACCATGCTGGTGGTGACGATGACGTTGACGACGGCAAGGCCAAGGACGGCGACGGGGCTGATCTAGCCGATGACGATGATGGTGTCCACGTGTCGGTGATGAAGGTTTTGGAAGGAATTCAACATGCGCGCGCCATGGGAAGCGCACGAGCGTTGTTGAAGGAGTTCGATCTGCGCCCAAAAGTTGTCCGCGCGGCTCCATTTGACAGGGATGATGAAACAACATTGGTTTTTGAAGAATCCAGCAAGCGCGCGGGCCGAATGTTTCAATTCTTTGTGAAGAAGTATGGTGCGACTTGTTCGATTTTGTGAAGCTTGGTCTTGCAATTGTTGATAAACCGATGGTTTCGGACAATTGCCGAGATGCGCGCGCGGCCGCCGCGCGCGTTGCCGCATGGCATTATTTGTCAGGCGCCGTGGCTCTGGCAAGCGCGCGAACGTTGTTGAAGGAGTTCGATGTGCGCCCAAAAGTTGCCTGCGCGGCCCCCTTTGACAGGAATGCCGAACATCCATAGGCTTTTGAAGTATTAAGCAAGCACGCGGGCCATATTGATTCTTTATTGTTTGAGCGTTTGTTTTGAGGGAGTATGGTGCGACCCGTGTGGTTTTATGAAGCTCGGTCTTGAAATTGTTGAAGAACCAATGGGTTGGGAAAGGTTCCGACATGCCATGCGCGCGTGGCGCACGCACGAGCGTGGCCCGCATGGTATCATTTGACAGAGATGAGTGAACAAATGTATGGTCAGAACAGCGAATGTGCTCCGCATGGTATGGTTTGACAAGGATGGCGGGGGGGGGCGATACCGGTTTAGCTGGGATACTTTACATTCATAATTTGGATGGGCGAGTATGCAAGATAGCTATGACGACGCAATGCGCGAAGGGGTGCTGTTAAGTCTGGGAGGTGGGGAGGGGGGTACAGTCAAGAAAAGAGAACCTACACAGTGCAATCGATGTGGTGCAATCTATGTAATTCGCAGCAACGCCGAGCAACGCCAAACAATGCCAGCGGGCGGCGACGGCGGCCACATGGCGGCCCGAGCGGCCTGCAGGCCTAGGCGAAGGGCGGCGACGGCAGCCACACGGCGTCCACAGCGGCCCGCGGGCCCAGTTCGTTCGAAAAGCAATCAGAATCCCTAGTGCGAGCACTGTTCGGGGAAGAAGCAGGAACCCCTAAAAGCAAGCGCTGTTTCGGGAATTGGTGTGAGGCCCCAAATGCGAGCGCGCTGTTTGACGCGCTGTTGGGCGCGCTGTGGTGTCAAGCGCTGTGGTACGCAAGGCCACACAGAGAACACCACCAATCTCATCATCACCTTCCTCCTTCTCCTCCTCCTCCATCTCCCCTCCCTTTTGTTCTGTGCTGTTGAGAGCAATGCCCAGCAATGTAGAGGCAATGCAAGGCATTGAAAGTTAGCGAGAAGCAATGCAAAGTAATGGCAATCAAGGTGAAGCAATGCAAATCAATGCAAACCAAGCAAAGAAACGCAAACAAAGCAATGCAAGTCAATCAACTGCAGAGCGATGTAACGCAACTCGCAAATCAACATTCAGTAATGCAGGCCCAAACGGCGACGGGGCGGCGACGGCGACCACATAGCCTCTGTAACTACGGGCAGGCCCAGAACGACGGGGCGGCGACTGTGACCGCATACGTCTTCACCAGACCGACGGGCAGGCCAAAAACACGGGCGGTGACGAAGTGGCGACGGGACGGCGACGGCGACCACGTAGCAGTCATACCGACGGGCAGACCCAGTTCTCTAGAAAAGAGATAAGAGCCCGCAAGTACAAAAGCACTGCTCGGAGAACATATGGACGTGCAAACACAAATCTCCATTCTCCAAGCAGCGCTTCCACACAGGGTTTCCTACATGTGCTGCTCAAGAATTGGACGGGTCTGTGTAAGATCTCCCACGTTGCCGCCTGTGGCCGCCTCGCGGCCGCTTCGTGTGCTGGCGAGGTTTCGCCGCGTTGCCGCCCGTTGCCGCCCGTTGCCGCCTCGTGGCCATCTCGTGCGCTGGGTGTGTCTTGCAAGATTTCGCCACGTTGCCGCCCGTGGCCGCCTCGAGGCCGCTTCGTGAACTGGGTGGGTCTGGCGAGGTTTCGTGACGTTGCCGCCCGTGGCCGCTTCGTGCGCTGGGTGGGACTGGGAAGAGTGGGAGGGGCCTGGAATGGGAAAAGTAAGAGGAAGCTTTGAATGGGAAGAGCGGGAAGGCGCCGGAATGGGAGGAGTGGGAAGGCACCGGAATGGGAGGAGTGGGAGGGAGCCAGAGTGGGTGGAGTGGGAGGGAGCCAGAGTGGAAGAGCCGCCCGTGGCCGCCTCGCGGCCGTCTCGTGCGCTGGGTGGATATCGCTTCGTTGCCGCCCGTGGTTGCCTCGTGGCGGCCTCGTGCGCTGGGTGAGTCTGGCGAGGTTTCGTGACGTTGCCGCCCGTGGCCGCGTCGAGCATGAACCACGTGTACCCTCCTTTAAAAAAACAATAGACTCTACCCCCCCCCGGACTTAACGCTTCCCCCTGGGATAATATAATTTCATATATATATATATATATATATATATTATGCACACTCGTCCATCCGAAATATGAAATCATACCATCCCAGGCAGGCCGGTTTCCCCCCCTGAGGTTCCCTTGTTAAAAAAACAGTATGCGGTGACATTTTTTGTTTTAACATAACACTTTGTCGCGAATCCCTTGCACAAAATGAGACGAAGTGCACACGCGCGCGTCGTCGCGCGCGCATGCCGAAATCCTTCAAAAACCCTCGGTGTCGGAAGGATTTCGCAGTCGAGTTTCCAAACAACATACAAAAACACATGGTTTTCGCAGCACTGATTTGCTAAAAAAGCTTCCGCGCGAGCTCTTGCGAAATCTTAAGTAAACGATCGGTTTTTCAAGATTTTCACAAAATGCTACCAAACGGGCTTCGCGCGCGCGCATGTCGAAATCTGTCGAACGCCCTTGCGCGTGTGCCGTCGCGAGAATCCTCTGCAACAAATGGGACGAAGTGCAGACGCGCGCGTGGTCGCGCGCGTACGCCGAAATCCTTCAAAACCCATCGGTTTCGGAAGGATTTTGAAATCGCGCGTCCAAAAAATCTACAAAAACCCAAGGTTTCGCAACACGGATGTTCAACAAAAGCGTGCGCGCGCGCGCGCTCTTGCGTCGTCGTCGTCGTCGTCGCCGTCCTCCCTCCTCCCGCGTCGTTGTCGTCGTCGTCGTCGCCTACGTCGTCCTCTGTCTTTCCTCGTGTTCGTCGTCGTCGTCCTCTTTGGCGTCGTGGTCGTCTCCGTCGTCGTTGTCGCCGTGCTCGTCGTTCCCCCTCCTCCCTCGTCGTCGTCGTCGTCCGTCGTCGGCGTCGTCGTCGTTGTCGTCGTCGTCGTCGTCGTCTTCCCTCCTCCCTCGTCGTTGCCGTCGTCGGCGTCGCCGTCCTTCCTCCTTCTTCGTCGTTCGCGTCGTCGCCGTCCTCCCTCCTCCCTCGTTGTCGTCGTTGTCGTCGTTGTCGCAGTCGTCGTCCTCCCTCCGCTCACTCGGACGTTTGCGGACTCGTCGTCGTCTTCGTCGTCCACGTCGTCGGCAAGGTCGGCGTCGTCGGTCGTCGTCGTCGTCGTACGTCGTCGTCGTCGTCGTCGTCGTCGTCGTTTGTCGGGGGGGCGTCGTCGTCGTCTCCCCGTCGTCGTCGATCGTCCGTCCGGTCGTCGTCGTCGGCGTCGTTGACGTCGCGTTGTCGTCGTCGCGTCGTCGTTTGCTCGTCGTCGTCGGCGATTCGTCATCGTCGTCGTCGTTTCATCGTCGTCGTCGTTCGCGTCGTCGTCGTGTCGTCGTCGTCGTCGTCGTCGGTGTCGTTCGTCGTGTCCTCGTCGTCGTCCGTCGCGTTCGTCGTGGGTCATTGCGGCGCTCGTCGAAGTCCTTATGAGTCGTCGCCGGTGTCGTCGTAGTCGTTGTCGGCGGCGTCGTCGTCGTCGTTGTCGCTGTCGTCGTCGGCGTCGCTGTCGTTGGCAAGTGCCATTTGGTACCCACCGTCACGGTCTTAAGAGATTTTGCGAACCAAGTTGCGGGTGGGTGGGTGGGATGTTTGCGCGAGCAGTGGAGTGGTCAAGCGCGGTGCAGGGTAGTCAACTGCACCACATAGCTTCTACCGCATAGCCTGCACCCTCTAGCTCACACGTATACATACACCAATCACATACTAGATGGGGTTCATGCTGGCTAACATCTGCATATCATTGTATCTTCGTCTCTCTCTCTATGTATATCGGAGGTTGGGGGGTGAGATCGCAATGCAACGGAGACCCCCAATCGGGACCTCGTTTCGTTTCGTTCGTGTCGTGCGTGCGGGCGAGGCGTCGGCGCGCGAGAGGACTGAACCCGCCGTTGCCAGGGCGAAATCAAGACAAATGATTCTCCCCCGCCCGCCCGTCCGGCGGTGGCCCGCGGTGTCCCGCGGTGTCCCGTGGTGTCCCGTGGTGTCCGCCTTTGCCAAGGCGAAGTCGAAACAAATGATTCTCCCGCGCCCGCCCGTCCGGCGGTAGCCCGCGGTGTCCCGCGGTGTCCGGTGGTGTCCCGTGGTGTCCCGTGGTGTCCGCCGTTGCTAGGGCGAAGTCAAGACAAATGATTCTCCCCCGCCCGCCCGTCCGGCGGTGGCTCGCGGTGTCCCGCGGTGTCCCGTGGTGTCACGTTGAGTGAGACCGATAGTGAGATCGATAGTGAGATCGATGTGGTGCCCCGAGGTGTCCCGTGGTGTCCCAAAAAGTGAGATCGATAGTGAGATCGACAGGTGTCCCGTGGTGTCCCGTTGAGTGAGATCGATAGTGAGATCGATTGAGTCACATGTTGGTTCCCCCCTCTCCCCCCCCACAACCTCCTTATCACCCGAAGGGTGGTCGTATAGGTACATCTATGCATCAATCTCTCTCTCTCTCTCTCTCCCTCTCTCTCCTCTGCTCTGCTCTGCTCTCCTCTCCTCTCCTTTCCTCCCCCACCTTCCGCGTCCCCTCCTCTCTCTCTTCCTCTCCTCTCCTTTCCTCCCCCACCTCCCGCGCCCCCTCCTCTCTCTCTCTCTCTCTTCCTTGCACTCTCCCCCAACTCCTCCGCCTCCCCCCCCCTCTCTGCCGTCGCCCTCTCCTCTGCCGGCGGCACCCTTTTTGCCCACGACGCACCCTCCTCCTCGCCGCTCCTCCTCCCCCTCCTCGCCGAACCGGGCCTGCACGGACCGACCGCCGCCCCTCCGACCTCGCAGCGCCCACAGACCAAACAAAGCACGCGCCCCCTCCCCTGGGCACCGCCGCGCCGCGGGTGCCCGTCGCCGCTCCCCTGCGCCCCCCCCAGGGGGGGGGGAGGGCCCACGCGGAGTGGTGGCCCGCGCGGGCCCCACGTCGTACGCTGCCCTCCCCTCGGTGCCGCCGCGCGCGTGCCACTGGCGCCACTCTCCTCCGCCCCGGAAGGGGGCCACAGCGGAGTGGTGGCCCTGCGCGGGCCCAGCCCGGAGACCTCGCCCTCCCGCGGTTGCCGCCCAGCGTGGGCCCGTCGCCACTCTGCGTCGCCCCCGGTGGGTCCAGCGGAGAAGTGCCCCACGCCGACCCAAATCTGCTGACCCCTCGGCGTGCGTGAGGCGCTGCCATCGTCTTCGTCGCCGTCAGTCCCCGGCAAAGTAAGGGACGAGCAGAGAAAAGAAACGTCGTAGTTCAGTCGACTCCCTTCCCTCTTTCCCTTGCCTGACGGGGGGGGGGTGGTAAGGGGGGATCAAGCGTGGGCCAAACTACCCTCCTAGATAGGTAGCTCACTCCCACCCGGCCTCCCAACATACAAGTAACACCCGAGTGTCAGCATATCGCTTAGGAGCGTCACACGTGCCATGCGGGCCACGGGTTCCAGGTGGTGCACCAGGCACCTTGGAGGCCGAAGCGTGACAGGAGCGCCAGGTGCGGCACGTTCTCCACGTGCGCCAACTGTGCCACGTGTTCCAGCCGCACCAAGTGCGCCAGCTACGGGGAACCACTAGGGAACCCAGGTGCCTTGGGACCTGGCCCCAAAGAGTTCAGAATCTGGAGTTCCCTTAAAGCGAAGTGCCGAGCATTCTGTGAGAAGGGCGGCTCCAGGGAGCGCAAACCAGCGGCACCCGTTGTTAAAATTCGACATTTTGAGGGGTCGTGGAACACATGGGAGCTCAGAGAACAGAGCGCCCCCCTGGAAGAGTACAAAGAGGATGTCGCCCGCAACGAGCAGCTGTAGAAGCAGGAGCACACGCTCGCTGAACGCAGTTTGTCGCCACAGCATCCCAGGCAAATAGCATGAGAAAGGGTCCATGTACAGTCGGGGCGTTGACCTAAGGGACGATAGATAAGGAACGAGGCCCCTTTTTCCCATCTATTGAACTCAGATTTCCCATGGAACACCTCAGGAAAACTCCAGGAGCACTGTAAAGCAACTGAGGACCGCGGAGCCCCTCCCCAGCAAAAAAGGTTCCTTCTCCAGGGCCCCGACTGCACTGAAGGGGCCCTGAGACATACAAATAAATACACACAAATAAACTAATCCCCCATATTTTACCATATTTTCGGGGTTTCTGTCTTCCCGCCCACTTCCCATATTTTCCCATATTTTCTGGGAAATCCAGGATTCATTGTGTCTGTGTGTTTCTTTTCCTCCTGATGCACCCCCGCCATCCCCGTCAAAACAAAAACACTGCAAAGTGGTTGCGGGGCGCCTGCGCGTGCTCCAGATCTGGAGGCAACCTGTACTTCGTTTTTTGTTTGTTGTTGTTGTGGTTGTCGTCGTCGTCGTCGTCGTCGTCGTCGTCGTTGTCGTTGTCGTTGTCGTTGTCGTTGTCGTTGTCGTCGTCGTCGTCGTCGTCGTTGTTGTTGTTGTTGTTGTTGTTGTTGTTGTTGTTGTTGTTGTTGTTGTTGTTGTTGTTTTTACATGGATGGTTGCAAGTTATTTTTTGGCCTGCGCGCAGCAAATCACATGCCTGCACCCCCGCCATCCCTAGTAATAACCACCACACAATGGTCGCGGGGCGCCCGCGCATGCTCAATATTCGGAGGCCAGGTGCATGTGTACCGTTCTCTTGCAAGGGGTGGTGAGGGGGGGGGGCCCTCATTGGTCCTGGTTGGCTGCCGTTCGCCTGGGGGAGGGGGCCTTCAGGAGGAGGAGGAGGAGGAGGAGGAGGAGGAGGAGGAGGAGAAGGAGGAGGAGGAGGAAGGAGGAGGAGGAGGAGGAGAGGGAGGAGGAGGAGGGAGGAGGAGGGAGGAGGAGAGGAGAGCAGGGAAGAACTATAAAAAGCGAGGTCGAGGGGGAATGTTCGGGGGGGGGGGCCCGGGTGAGGTTGTGGTCCCGGCCCTGGCCCTGGCCCTGGCTCCGCCCGTGGCACCGCTTCGCTGGGCCCCCTTCCTGGGCGGAGGAAAGCGGCGGCAGCTGCACGCGCGGCGGCGGCGAAGGAGGGCAAGGTAGGATTGTGAGGGCCTCACGGCTGGCGCCGCCGACCCTGAAGGCGGGACCTCTGCCAGGGCCCCCGGGGTCTCCTCCCGGGACCCCGTGGCCACGGCCAGGGCCGCGGCCACGGCCACGGGCCCACGCGGGCCCACAAGAGACCTCGCCCTCCCTTCGGTGCTGCCAGGCGTGCAGCTGCCGCAACTGTTCCTTCGCCATGCGGACCCCTGGAGACTCGCCCTCCCCTCGGTGGGAGGAGGAGGAGGAGGAGGAGGAGGAGGAGGAGGAGGAGGAGGAGGAGGAGGAGGAGGAGGAGGAGGAGGAGGAGGAGGAGGAGGAAGGAGGAGGAGGAGGAGGAGGAGGAGGAGGAGGAGCATGGTGACCCATGCAGACCCCCTGGAGACTCGCCCTCCCCTCGGTGTGGCCGGGCGTGCAGCCGTCGCCACCCTGCGCTGCCCCCAGTGGAGCCGGCGGCGCGGGGGCCCACGCGGACCCCAGCCAGACCTCGCCTCCCTCGGGCGCCGCCGCGCGTGCAGCTGCCGTCGCCTCCCTGGGGGTGGGGGGGCCCCGCGGGGCGGTTCTTCGACGCGGACCTGCATCTGACCTTGCCGTCACCTTCGGTGCTGCCAGGCGCGTCGCCGTCGCAGCTCTCCTGCGCCCCTGGTGTGTGTGTGTGTGTGTACGTAGCGGAGTGGTGGCCCGCGCAGACCCGACCTGTGATCTGGCTGCCCACTTAAGGGTGGGGTCGGAGGATTGCGCCGCGTCGCCGAACATCGGCGAGGCGGCTCAAAGGCTTGGCCCGGTCTTCTCCACGCGGCCAGGGCCCATAACTCGGCACGGCTGGCAGGATCGGCTTTCCGATCCTGCCAACCTTGCCGAGCGGGTAGGGGTACGTGCGGGTTTGATTGGTGGTTGTTTCAAGCGTGCGCCGCGTCCTGCATTCATGCTCAACTGCAGCGCGCGCTGGCCGATGATGCGGACGCGCTCGTACGTCGTCAGGAACGGCGGCGACTTGTTCGGCTGGGTGGACCTCTTGGGCACCTGGGCCGCCAGAGGAGTGTCCATCGGTCGGAGAGAATTGATGGACACGTGAAGCAGGAAGGCGTTGAACATGCAGAAGATTCCCGCCCGCCCCTGAAGAGGAGGGACGAGGGACAACCGCTCGACTCTTGAAATAGGAAGGCGCCTGAAGCATCTTGGGAGCTATAGGGGTACAGTGCGGGCGCGGCCGCAAGAAACCCTCGCAAGAAGCCCAACCCTGAGAACCCGTGCGCGAGGTGCACCCGAGGGGAAACCCGGAGCACCCTGAACGCACCAGCTCCTTCAACGGCTGCGGGAAGTCGCCGCGCAGCGCGAGGAGCGAAGAAACCCAGGATACCCCGACGAGAAGCACGTGGCTTCTTGATGCGCGCCCCCACTGTACCAAAACGCCCACTTTCAATGGCCGAGTGGTATCTGGGTCAGAAGACTTCGCGCTCCGCGCAGGTCACGAGGGGCGGCGAGATTCCCGCTCCAGCGCCGCCCCCCCATCCGCCCCCCCAAGAGGCATGGCACACCTCTCCGGCGCAAGCCGCGGTTCGTGGCCATCTTCGCGCATCTGTGGTTGATCTGGCTGGAGGAGAAGTGGAGCGGAGGAAGGCGGGATGGGACGAGGCGGGGCAGGAGTGGTGGGAGGGCGGGGTGGGGTGGAAGGGGGATGTGGGTGGGAGGGAGAAAACGGGGATGGGTGGGGCGGACTGAAGTGATGGTAGGGCAAGATCGTTCAGCATCGAATCGAAACAATCGATCTGGATCATAATGCACATTGGAATCGGGCCACATCGGCACGGAGTCGGAATCGAATCGGATCGGCCGCATCAAGGTGCACAACATCGCCATGCAAACATCGGGCCACATCGCATCGTCGGAACGAAGGGCCCGATTCGGATCGGCCAGGCCCGAATCGATATCGACTTGGAGCGCTCGGATCGAACTGGCCCCTTGGGCAGGGCGAACGAGGGCAGGGTTGCAGAGAGGGGCGAGGCGAAGAGCGACAATTGGGGGGAGCATCTATTCGACGTACTCAGAGCACTTAGGGCAGGGGGAGGTGGAGGAGGAGGAGGAGGAGGAGAAGGAGGGGGAGGAGGAGGAGGAGGAGGAGGGGGAGGAGGAGGAAGCGGAGGAGGAGGAGGAGGGGGAGGAGGATCGTGAGATGGAGTACTTCGGGGAGGGGGATGTGGATCGGGGCGGGACGAGAGGGATGGAGAGGAAACAGGGGGCGCTAAGATGGGAAGCTGAAACGCAAGCGTGCGCACGTGCTGTCCGAGTCCATGGTCAGGCCGCCTATTCCTCCCAATCCGGCCCACTAAAACATGCCAGAGGCCGAAACGCGCCACAAGCCTTTTGTTGTGTCCTTTCCACCACGCAAGGGGTGGGGGACCCGAGCGCCTTGGTGTTGTCGAGGATCTGTGACTCGCCCTCGTTGTACGGCGCGTGGTCAGAGTCGGACTGGGCCGCGGACAGGGCTCCGAACAGCTCCCTCTCCTCGGGGTCCTCCTCGCCGCCAGCGGGGCGTGGCCATCTGGCCACTGGAGCGGGAGCGGGTCGGACAATGAAGCCAAGAGCAACTGTACGTAGCTAGCAGAGATAATACGGCCAGGAACTTCTGCTCAGCGTGTCGCGGCAGCGATCTCGGCGACACGCTGTGCCCTGCGAGCTGATAGCGTGCCGCTCCGATCCGTGGGACTGGAGGTCGAGGGAAGCTCAGAACGTTGATGCCTGGGGACTCAGACGCGGTTAGAGTGCTCTAGAGAAACATAACAAAAAAAACATACACGTAAACTTTGACAACTCCGCGTGGATTTCTTTGATCTGCGCTGGGCCCCCCTCTCTGGCGTACGGAGCGCGCCAGGGTCGGTGCCGGAGGCGCCGCTGACGGGACCTGGTGCAGATTCAAGACAATCGCGCGAAGCTCCGAACATCTGAGTGTATTAGTGCACATGTCTTTCTTCGAATGTCGCGCCGAAGTCTCGCGGGCCACAGCCGGCGGATCGATGCGCCAAGAAAAGCAACGCGACCGCACGCCCGTGCGCCTCCGACGCCGCGAGCTTGCCTTAGGTCGGGCATGTCCTCCCACAAGCGGGCGTGTGGACGAAACATGAAAATATATACACCAGAAATGCTAAACACAGAATCCAACGCAGTCGAAAACTCGTCCCCAGAGATTTTTTTTTTGTTTCTCTCATTTTTGAGTACCGCAGGTTTGCGTCGTGTCGACCCAGGCGATGGTTTTTGACACCGCGGGAATCGTTCAACCTTGAACGATCGGCCGTTTCCGAAACTACTGAATCGTTCCACATCGAACGATTCTGGGTCGCCCGCGCGTTCAAAGTTGAACGCCGCTGGCGGGGTCGCCGCTGGTCGACACGGCACGAACCCACCGTACTCCTGCTGTAGAGGGACATGCCCGACTCGAAGCGGATCACGGCGCGGGCCCAGGGGGTACCTCGACCCGTCCCCGGGGCCTCGACGCCGGCCTCCGAGCGCGATGCGGCGCTGGAGGTCCCGGCCTCGGGACGGCCCCGCGGGGGCCCCGAACCGGTCTGCCTCCTCCTCCTCCTCCTCCTCCTCCTCCTCCTCCTCCTCCTCCTCCTCCTCCTCCTCCCCCCCATGCGATTCTGCCTCGCTTCCGGCCTCCTCCTACGGCCCCAGAGGCTTTCATCACTGCTCCAGATTTCGTAGTACAAGGGAGGGGGTCGCAACCCTCCCAGACGAGAAGTCTTAGACCCCGCCCCGTGGGAGAACCCTCCAAGACATCGTCCCCAGACCCCCCCCGGGCCCTCCAAGATAGCCTGGAAGAGACCCCCCCCCGAAATGAGACCCCCCTCCCTTTATTACGAAATCTGGAGTACTCCCCTCGCGCGCCTCCGCCCACCTCGCCCGTCCTGGTTGACATCCTCCAGGGTCGGTGGAGCCAGCCGCAAGGCCTGTGCAATCCAGCGGCCTCGGGTTTCGTCCCCAAGCAATGCTAGTACAACGGGGAGACCCGCGAGGTTATTACACAACAAGCATAACGTGGATCAGCGAGGTCTGGACCCCGTCCTTGGGACCAGCCAGGCCCCCCGGGAACCAAAAATGGCCCAAAACCTTCCGTCGTGATTTTCTCACGACGCGAGGGTGTCTCGTTCTTCTTGCCCCCCAGGCAGTGCTCGCAGCTGGGGGGCTCTTGCCTGCGATCCGCGGAGCTGGCTCTTCGTATCGCACTCTCTCCGCCGTTCCCCTCTTTCTTCTTGCAGTGCGTCAGTGCGCTGCACAGTAGACCAATGCCCGCCCGATCAGTCTGCGCGAGCCCCAGGTCCGCGACGACTCGGGGATCTACTGGCCCAGGTGAATGCAAGCCCAGGTCAGGCAAGCTGTGCAGGATCCTGCAAGATCCTGCACGCAAGCCCGGGTCAATGCACCCCTGTCTCTGGCTGACCCCGGCGCTCTGGCTGACCCCCGTTTGCATGGACCCCCGTCTCTTGCAGCTCGGGCAGAAAAATCGCACCTGTTTCCGCGGTGGCCTCCCATGACTTCCTATGGCCCAACTGGGCCTGCGTGCGGCACTCTTGCTGTTGGCTGCTCTGCCTCCCTCGGGCCTTCTTGGCCTCCTCCTGAAGACGAATCGGTCTGTAGGCTGCGACCTCCAACGTCTCGAGAAACTCAGGGCGGACTTTGTTTCGCAGTTGTTGACCTCTGAAAACCCTCGCCTAGACCCTTGACCGTTAAAAATCGTCTCGGGATGAAGAGCCTGTTTTTCGGAAAAGGTCCAGACCTCCGGGCACCCCGTATCGAGAAACTCGAAGCATTCTATGTCTGCTTGCGGATCATCCAGCTTCCCTGGCGCAGCCCCATCCTGGCAGCTGTCGCTTGTGATTTGTCTGTGGGGCAAAATCTTTATTGGCCTCCTGTGGTTTGGCCTCCAATGCACAGCTAGGGCTCCACACACATTACTCCAATGATCGACGGCTTGGGGTCCAAGCGCTGGCATCATGTGGGGCGCGGTGACAATTGTCCTGGTGGAGACAGGGCCTGGGCCCCAGAGATTTCCGCGAGACCCGCCTTCATCCCGAGCAGTAACCTCCTGGGCCCGGGGCCCCGGGGAGGGGCCGGGCAGCCCCGAAGACGGCGGCAGACCTCCAGGATCCCTGTTCTCCCTCGTGGCGAGAAGCCCCACGCTGGCAATCTGCATCGCAACGGTCTGGCGCGCCACCCCCCTCTGCTCCTCGCCCCTCCTGCTTCTCTTTCCTGCCGGCGGGTCGCACGCTCGAGCAGCACAAGCGGGGGCGCGGGCGTGGGCGTCGCACTGCACGCAGCGTCATCCCACGGTTGGCTCAGCACGTTCGGTTGCCCATTGGAGGAGAGTGCTGAGCGTGCACCTGGCAATTGTTGCTGTACGTATGTTGTTGTTGTTGTTGTTGTTGTTGGTGTTGTTGTTGTTGGTGTATGGATTGCTTTCCACATGAGGCTTTTGAGACATGTAGCGCGCGGCTCCAACAAGTGCTTGCCAGCACCTCTTGCCGTGCTGCCGCCCTTGCTAGACTAGCAGCTCCAGCAGCAGCGCGCGGAGAAGGTTGAGATCGCTTCTGGGCTTGCTTCCAGAGGCTTTTATGCAGAACTGGCAGAACGTACATCCTATCGATGTGTTGGGCCGATGCTTCGAAGCGTGACCGAACAGAGATGGGAGAAACTCTATCCTCTAGGGTGTCTGGCTGGCGACTTTTGAGAGCCCAGCGTCTCAAGAGCGACTCCCTTGCCTCGAGCACCCCTGCCGAGCCGTGTCCTCTACGCACTGCGCATATTCTGCACATATCTCCGGGGCAGCGGAGACAATCAGACGTGCACGACTCTCTGGACAATACTGCTGTGCACCGAGGTCGCTCGATCGTCGTTCTCAGCGTAGATGTGGCGAGCCACGCGGCTGCAGGATGTTTGTCTCCTCGATAGGCCGTGGTTGCGCTCGTCTCGTCGGTCTTGCGTGGACAAGAGCTTCGGCACTTCTTGCGAGGCCCCCGTGCGAGACGTTCCCCAGATCGAGGGCTCGACCTCCAGTAAGGTGACGTTGTTCCATATGTTGACTACGGATCCGAATTATTTTTGGGGCACTCCTCGAGGAAATAGTGCAACATAGAAGCGTGCGCTTAGGTCGGGCGTGTCCTCCTACAGGGGGATTTTGAAGGGAAAATTATAGTTTGTTTTTTTTTTTTTTTTTTTTTGTTGTTGTTGTTTTTTTTCCTCACAGCCGCAGGCGGAAGCGCCAGCGGCGGAAGGTCGCGAACGGGCCGCGGACGCGACTAGATGACCTAACGCGCGCAGGGCCGCGGATCAGGCGGCTCACGACAGCGTCCAGGGGGGCGAAGCCGATGCAATCCAGGTGCCATGAGCCCCTGAACGGGCATGCAGGTGCGTCCAACAGGCCTGAGGTAGGCACCGAGACGACCTAGCGCAGCCAAAATGGCGCGATAACGTTCCAACGTCCAGGTGCGGACAAGGGAACGACCCGAGGACGTCAGCCCCAGCCTGTCGGGTAGCACAGACGACGGGGTGGTAAGTCCAACGAGGATCCCGACGGCGGCAGCGAGCCGCGGCGCCAGAACGACATCAAGGTGTATCCATGTTCCGAGAAGATTACCACACCGAGATGTTTCGGCCCAGACCCAGCGGGTGGAAGGGCACCTGATGCACGCTACCCGTCGAAACGCGGCGTGTGCACACCACAATGTCATAGTGCAGTCCAAAGAGACGGAGAGCACAGGCGGGACGAGACCGTGTATACCCAGGCAAGTCCCACAAAGCCACTGATCCAGGGTCGCGGTCGGAAGCCGTCCAGCAATGGGAGTCCAGAAGGCACCGATCCATGGAGCCTGAAGGGTACCACAGGCTGACTGGGAACAAGGGCCAACGGAAAAGCTGACGGCGAGCCAGTCGCTACGCAAGAAGCGCATCCAGGGTGTGGAGCATGAAGACAAGACAGAACATCCACAACTGAGATGCGACAGCCCAGATCCGACGAGTGGAAAGGCGTAGAAGAGCACGATGCACGGCAGACCCCGAGGAGTATGCACATCTAAGGTGGCCCAGCGATACCCAACCAAGTCGCCAGCACAGAGGGACGAGGACGCCTTGTACCCGAGACGTGTCCCTCAGAGCCAGTGGATCCAGGGTGACGGCGGAAGGCCGTGCTTCTTGTTTGAAAGGTCCAGGGTGGCGGCGGAAGGCCGATCGTTCGGTTAAAAGTCCAGGGGGAAGCCAGTGGTCAGGCGAGCCGTGGCCCACTGACAGGCCAGGAAGGCCTGGCGGTGTGACAACTGCAGTAGGGCCTGAGGCCGCGAGTCCACTGCGGAGAGGCGGTGGACGGTATTGCCGAAGCGCGCGCCTGGATCCAAAGGCAGGAGGTGCGCGCGTCGGGTGGAGGGCGGCAGGGCGCCGCGATTAGGGGCCCGCGGCGCGGCCTGGGCAGCGTCCGCTGGGATTCAGGAAGTGAAGCAAGGCGGGGAGAGAGGAGTCGAGTGACAAAA